CCAGTGGATTTGACGGTCTCAGCAAAACAAAAATAATTTGGTCCTGCATTTATAACCTGGGAAAAGGAAGCTCAATGACGGATAACTATGATATAGTTAAATGACTGGGTACCTAAACTTCACGTAGTGATCAATCGAGCATGGTATCTCTGGTACTATCCCACAGCATCTTCATCACAGAATCTACACTGAAACATTGACCGGGCCAAATCTTTTTTGGAAAAGAACAGTGGTAAACATGAAGCCCATTATGTAGCTCGAGAATTACCCGTCAATGATGATCCTACTTGAAGCATAAGAGGGTATACAGCGCTAAATTCCTTGTCTCCTCTGGCCCTTACCTTGGTGGCATAATCGTCTAGGGTTGCTTTGATACCTTTCCAAACTTGATCCTCACCTTGAGAATCTAACCACAACGAATACTGCTGAGGAGTAAGTTTGTTCCTTTGCATCGGAGACTGCAACTCCTCAGGACCTCGAGAATATAGATGGTGAAGTATGACACTTGCTGGCAGATCATGAAGTAGTGGAGATGCCTCCAATTGAAACGTTTCCAGGAATATAAGAGGACGAAATGCTCGAAGAGCTCGATATGGTGCACCAAGTTGTTCTACAGGGAACAAATTTTGGCCCACAGCTAACTCCAGCTCAGCCATGTCCCTGGCCATTCGTAGTTTTCCTGATTCAGAAAGAGGTCTGACCAGAGAAGCATGCCTGATGAAGAAAATTAACACTCTTGACGCCATGCTTCTTACAAGCTGAGTGCAAATGTTTTCCGTTCCAGAGACGGTTGCATTTTTGGATGAAGGCAACAGCCTTGATAAGAACTCACTACGGAAGTGAAGAATGTACTTTTGCAGTTCCTCCATGTAAGGTGATGCATTATTGTCCATTGCAGCATTCATACCCAGTACACCGAAGTTCTGATCATGAATTTGCAATATACAAGACTCAAGACTGTCAAGCATAGCTTGGAATAACGATGTCACAGAATCACAGGCAACCCCATATATTGAACCTAATGATGGAGACAAAATATCAGCAGCAATAATGGGTAGCCCAGTGATCATAGATGACACCCGAGTATGAATTTCTTGCAGATGCTGACATAATGTGAAATTCTTAAGTTGGGCTGGAATTGCTGGACCACTTACTTGGCGTGCTTCAGGACCAGTAGATATCTGCCATCAAATTTCATTAATATGATAAAGTCACAAGTCAGAATGAGATATTCAAATATTGAAACATACTCCACCAACAATGAGAATTATAATCAAAACACAAATGTTCATGGTTCAAACAATCATAGTAAAAGAACGATACTTCCTTTTTACAAATCTCTCTGATTAGCTTCCATTAACATCATGCAACATTATCACTCTGGATATAACATCAACAAATCCCGTAACATGACAAATTTTTCCCTCTTATGAAAATCAATAAATCATTTCATTTTCACAAGTCAGAACTAAAAGATGTAAGAGGATTATTCTATTCACCAAGAACAGAACCAAGTGACAGTTTAAGAACTTGAACTACATTAAGTCCAAAAATCTGAGATTGTATTGATTGGAAAAGCAAAGCAGTAGTACTAGGAAGAAAATTTATCAAGTCCCTTTTTTTATAAGAGAATTTTGTCAAGTCCTATAAATACATATCACATGTTTCCCAGGTCATGTGAGGTCTTTATGGATGAACCATCAATTGCTGCTATACTAGACAAGTTGCCAAGTGGGGAAATCTTGCATAGAAAAGAGTATAGACATATATAGGATTATATACCCTAGCATATGATAGTATTGATTAGAGTATGCCAAAGTCACCAAGAAAACAAACTACCTGACATTCAGCTCTTTCAGCCAACAGCAGAAGAGCCTTGCCAACTTGACGCAACACAAGTAGAGTTAAACGACCATCCATTTGAACAGATTCAATCTCTTCCTGAATACGTGATATGATTTTTAAGATCTGTTCTTTCGAGGGGACGCTACCACGACTTGAGACTGGAAATATAGAGCTAACAAGATCAGATAGCCGACTCAAGCAGAAACCCAAGAATGCCGTCTGGAATATTTCAATGGCTGCAACCATCTGATCTTTTCCACTTGAACTTATTGCAGGCAAGACCCCTTTGACGTCAGTGTCACGAGAAATTCTTTCAAGAAGATTCTCTATCATTGAGAATAGTTTTGGATATCCCATAGTGAATATTTCTTTGACAAAGCTTGATGCAGTAAAAGCAGACTTCATTTGGCTAGCAAAAGCCTTCACAAGAGCCTCCCAAACTCGATCTGTTAACACGGAATCACCTTCCTAAACAATACATCAGTAATATAAGAAATTGTTTCTCAAATGGAGAAAGTTTACAACAGCTATACACAAAGTGGGAGTGGAATTAAGCATAACAAGGACTAATGCTGAATTTAAAAACAAAAAATCGTTTCAAATAAAGTGTGTGAAAGATTTTAATATCAAAAGAAATTACAAGACAAGTATCTCCACTTGTGTAATTTTCATTGCTCAAACGATGACCTACAAACAACAATTTGCACTGAAATTTCATAACGTTCAACCTGATGCATATAGATCGCTAATTTTACAATGGTAATTATCAAGATGTTTGTCAAAGAAGAGATACATCGGATGAGAAGTGGAAAGGAAACAATGACAACATGGATAAGCTTTAAAGCGTGAAAATTTGTTGAGATGGAAACCTGTCCAAAATTTTAATTTCATCATCATTATTGACTCTCAATTAGTAGAAGAATTTTCAAGATGGTTAACCAACAAACCATTTAATTTATTGAATTTTATCAGTAAATACCATATTATGGACAAACTTGACAACAGAAAAATTCAGCAGCCCGCAAATTTAACAGCCCCTTCACTATACATTTCACTTCTAGACTGTATTCAACTAATGCCACAACATGGTCACGAAATTCAAATGTGTTCAGTTTCTCTGTTCCGTATTCTATATTTGTCGATTAGATACAGACATCAATCTGCCAAAATGTTTAGCTAATGGAAACCGAGTTCCAGATAACTAAAGAAGCAGTCCAAATAAAAATCATCAGTAGCTATATCTAAATCATCACTAGTGAGTTTAATTATCTATACTACAGAACAGATTTCGAATACCACTTGCCTGGATAACCTCGTCAAGCAGCAAAACATGAGTAAAAGGGTCACGTTTCTTCGATAATACCCTCTGCAAGTGCCAAACAGCTATAACAATTGAATGCAACTGATCCAAACAAGTTCCCAACCTCTGCCAGAGCGCCTCCCTTGCCTTCGCACCGCCACCAATCTGTGGCGTCCCACTTCCCCTTATTCCTCCCGGACCAAATCCAGTTCCAGCAGACCCCGAAATCGACTTCATATCCAATGCCACACTCACGCTCTTCACCCCCATACCCTTATACTTAGTCATTAATTGCTCTATTGTTGCCTTCAATTCACCAAGATTATAAAATACCTGCAATCCAGTCCCCACCTCGGCTTGATTCAGACCCTCCATTCCTCTCTCTAAAACCTTCATAGCCTCACTTCTCAATTTATCCCCAATTTCATTGACCCATTTCAACTCCTCATCAATGACATCAATGCCCGCGAGGTCGAACTCATTGCAAAGACTTAAGATCTCGCAGTGCAACTGTGCAGCCTTGGCGAGATCCAGCTTCTCGGGCTCATCGGCAGAGGCAGAAGCAAGGTCGCGAAGCTTCTTCGACAAACGGAGGGCGCGGATCGTATGCTGAAGGAGTTCTGTAGTGTGGTGAAGATTGTAGAACTGGATGGTCTTGGTAGAGATGACATTTCGGGGTTCGGAAAGTTCGGATCGGACGCGGCGCACAGAGGATTGGAGGGAGGAGACACCGGATCGAACAGTGGAGAGGGCATTCTCGGCGTGCTTTAGAGAGGAGAGTTGAGAGAGTAGGTCATTGTGGCGAGAGAGGACCTCACTGCGGAGCTGCGATTCGAGGAGACGGATGGCCTTCTGCAACTTCTCTGCGGTGGAGGCTGGCGAACCGGAGGAGAGTGCGGCGGAGGAGAAGGAACTGGAGGAGAAGGAAGGGGAGAGGAAGGCGGAGAAAACGGGGTCGGAAGCAAAGGAATCCAAGGGGGACGTGGTAGTGGCAGTGTTAGCGGAGTGGGGGGAAGTGAAAGTTGAAAGACGATGAATGGGGGAGGAGCCGGCGGCGGCGGCCGGAGACGGAGCGAGGGGAGATCTCTGAGACTGGAACGGCGACGGTGGCGCTGCGGCTGGAGACGCCATATCGGAGGGGCGGATTTCCAGACGTCAGACGGAATTGCCTTTTCTCGTTGTTTTCCTGAATTTGGAGCATTATAAAATAAAATTATTGCAGTAAAAAATAAATATACAGATTCTATAAAATAAAATTAATGGTTTGGTTTTATTTTTTGGTTAGGGTGATGTGAAAATAAGTAATCTAAAAAACCGACACATCGACCGAAACCCTCCCACGAACGACTGGTCGACCGAAAATGTTGAATTTAAACCCCCTCCCAAGTCCCAAGTCCCAACTACTTCATCAAATTTTTAGGTAAACATATGATGTAAATAAACATGTTAAAAGCATACAGTAGCTTTAAGTAATTAAAGTTTATAACTTAAAAGTATAATTCAACTAGAATTAGGAAAAAAAGTTAAGAAATTATACCTTTATTTTAAAGAGTAAAAGTTGAAATCTTTCTTTCTTATCATCAAACTTACAACAACAACAAATAAGTGTGAAGATTTGGTTTTTTTCTTTATTTTGATTTTTTATCTAATATTTGTCCTATATTATTTTTCAAGATATAAAATAATGGTTAAAAAAATATTATTTATACATACAACGACTAAATCATGTGGAGATAATTTTCCTGCCATCTAGATATTTTAATCGTGAATGCATTAATCTAGACATGTCTTCTTAGTGCAAAATTCGAACCGATCCATGTTCCCAATCATCCATTGCAAATTTGACTACGGGCTATTCTTCAAGAGGTTCATCTACCCGAAACTTTGAGATGCATTAGTCTGGAGGTGGAATCAGATCCCCTCTTTACTATTCAATCCCTTACCAAAACTAGTGTGATAGTATACGAAATAAATTGGATGAAGGAAATCCTTCAAATTGTGATGGCCTCCTCTTCGATTCACTTTCTGCATGTCTCGAGATTACTCAATAAGGGTTTTAATTTTCTTTGCTAATAGAGCTCTGATTCATCACGCAAATTTTTCCTTTGTGTAAGAAACTTCCTCCGATGGTTGCAGGCTCTAATTGACCCTTTATATATATTTTGAGACAACTTATATTAATTTTTTTAATTTACATTATTTTTCTCATGGATGATTTATGAACGAAGTGTTGAGACTTTTTTTTGCCTTCAAATTAAGTGTGGAGTAAAATTCTATCTTGATAGAAGTAAGAATAGACCTTTTAAAGATATTCGACTCAAATAAATAATATTTTGTGCATATCCCAACTTTTTCATTAGTATTTATAATATTTACACTTTTCTATTTATATTAATTAGAATATCAAATAGGACGTAAACTCTGAGTACTCTATCAATCTCGTGCAATTTCTTTTAGTATATTATACTTTACCAATCTCACTCTTAGAATATTAAATATATGGGTGGAAAACTTCTATCGTCTTAATGATATTGAGATTATAGTTAATCAAAACTTGCATATAATAGGCTTGGTTCATCTTAAACGTTTGAGATATATTGTAATGAATTTGAATTTTGTTAATCTATCTCATGATCTCGTTTATGTTCAACACATTTAAAAATAATAATAATAATAACAACTTATATAAATAAAGGATACCTCTAGATAAAGTATACCAGAGAGTCCAAAAAAATATGAAATTAATATTATGCAAACGTGGAAACATTATGTTAATTACCATCGAACTATGTTCGCTTTACGATTTTATTTATTTTGTTAATTGCTATCAAAGCTTTTAAATAATAATTGCTTTTTAGATATTAAATTAAGTATGAAAACAGCCGTTTACAATTTTTTTTTCCCTTTTTGAGACAAAGCCATTCAAAAAAGTATAATAAACTGCCGTTTATGTAGGACCACAGCCATGACAATAATATAACAAAGTAATTTACACGGAACAACATTTAATTAATTTTTAATCACCGTTTGTGGAAAATATTTCATTTAATGATTTTTTTTTTCTCTAAAGTTTCATTTATGATTTAATGCTTTATTAGTTGAGCATAGTTTACCAACTTATTAAATAAATTAATAAAAATACATCTAAAAAATGTTTTTATTATTTTTTTATTTCGTAGCTCTATGCCATCTTAAACATAAAAAAGCTACCAACAAGCTTAAGATTGTCTGTCAAAAAAATAAAAAATAAAGCTTAAGATTGAGTCAATTTAATTTATATATAGAAAAAACATGCATTAATCATTTGAGTTACCAAGCCACGGATTTCGCCTAAAGACAAACTATTTTGAAACTGTAAAAGAACCATGTATGACCATCTAAATTGGAAAGATAAGAAATAATGGAGTGATATTAGTTTCTTGAAGTTACATTTGAAATACAAACAGAAACCCCAAAACCAGATTAAAAAGAAAAAACTAGAGGTATTGAAACAGAGGAAAAAGACATGTAGTCCTGGACCAAAATCCCAACGAAGAAGAACATAGAAAAGAATGAATAAATGAAGAGGGAAAATTCAGACATGACCCCCACAGCAGAGGAAGAAGAAACAGAGTGTGGAGACCAAAACAATGGCCTCCACGACAGAAACAATCTTGAAGAAGACATTGTCTATGACATTAATCATCTGGAAATCAATTGGGTTTCTTCTGAAGAGCGAGAACCGCCATGGCCACAGCTCCTTCCTCACCTTCTTCAACGACCACGCCTTCTTCGTCTTCTTCGACTCCATGAAACAGAGATCTCTGTTCTGTTTCTCTGTGGGTGTTTCCTTTGAGAATGGGGGATCAAAAATGGGCTATAAATAAATAAGGGGGGATTTTGCCACTCTGTCTTGTGAGGAAGCTCAAGAGTACAACGTATTTGCTGGCAAATAATATTATGTATGGTGACGAAATCTATGCAATTCCACTCCAAAAAAAAAAAAAAAGACGCCATTTTGCCCGTTAATTTTGTGTCCAAAAGTGGATCCGGATTTCATTTCCAAGTAACGTTAGCCTTGGAATGGGCCCCCAAATAAAACAAAAGAACAACGTTATACAATTGTGCCTTTGTTTGAAAATATGTCATACATTAAGGGCTAAATTACAAAATTTGTTTTGTATTGTAGGGGTTTAGTTTTAATTTGGCTCCTTTTGTTTGAGCATGCTTTTAATTTGGTTCCATGATTTTTTTAAAAAAAAAAACCAAGAATTCAATGTAACGGATTTTAGTTGATGTAGAAATCAAAAAGGAAATTTAAATGATGAGTAGATTAAAGAAGAGTTTCATATTCATAATAAAAAAGATGAAATTGGTTTATATATTTTCTGCATTTGTGTGTTTTTTTAAAAGGCACGCGTGATGAAGTAGAGGTTCCACAGCAGTCGGTAATCAAAATTAATTGTAAATTTTCTGATTATCCCCTTTCGTTTCATTAAGACAAACATGTTTTTTTTTTTTTTTTGAAATAAAGAAAACAACAAACATTAATGAACTTCATTTTGAACTAATTCCAGCAAGACGAAACGAAGTTGATAAATCACTCCCTCACCAAATTATCCATTATTGCCTTCCATGCTATACCATGGGCGACAACGTTTCCTTCTCATCTGGTGTGGATCATCGATTCCAAACGCAGGTCATTCCTACAATGTTGAATATCATCTACCAACCAAGCAGTCGGTACTCGGATTAATTGCACAACCTCCAAAGAATCAGTTTCCAAATGAATAAATCTGGGTAAATCGTCACGTGTTGCTTCCATTTCCTTGCCAGCTGCTTCTATCCCCTTGTAGATTGCCAATAGCTCAAGATAGGTAATGTCTATGTCTTCTCTAATAACTTCACATCCTGCCTTCACGATTTGACCAATCTCATTTATGATAATCCATCCTAGACCACTGACTCCTGTTTCCGCTTGCCAAACTGTTAAGAGAGCCCATTGATTTTGTGTAAATAACTACAAACGGTTGGGCTGTTATTAAATATTTGTTTTTTAACTAAAAGCAGTTGGGCTGTTAT